AGAGAATAGTTAGTTTATAAATCACTGAACGGCTTCGCACCACAATACATTAAAGATCTGTTGTTGTATCAACCTTCCAGATTATCCACAATATCTGCATCCAGAACCAAACATGAAGAAGCGGCATTCAAATCTGGAACAAATTTCCAGAAAACTGCAAAAAGCCCAAACAATGAGTTCCTTTAACTCAAGGATTTGAGGGAATACCATTGATCATTTTGATGGTGTCTTTTGACAGAATGTAACATTTGTTTGCTGTTTTAGTGGTGTGATTTGATGATTCTGAAGATGGCATTTGACAAAATGTGATGTTTATAGATTTCTTTCACAACTGGTGACTGTGACATTTCATGATGTGAAGTATTTTGAACTCTAAAGAGAACTGAGCAGAGTGAACTGAGTCCAGGTTTCAGTCACAGTCAGAGGAAGTTTGAGCACGAGCAGCAGGATTCAAAAAGGGGCTGACTATGTTTGAGCAAGAGGCATTTAAGTTTTGTGGGAGATAAATTGAATACCTGAGAGTGAAAATAAGGAATCTTGTTCTCAGATTAAAATGTGTTCTTAGATTCTCAAAAGAGAGTTCAGATGCTCTGAAACGTTTGCTTTCTGAAATTTGGCCCACGTTTTGATTGATCTTATATTTTTGCAGAACATCTGCCGATGTATCATAAGAGTTAAAGGAAAACACACATTTTACCATCTGTAGTGAGAAAACCTCAGCATTGTTCTGCTTACATAAGTGATGACCAGATGTTTCCTTCTGGCATCGCCTCCGTTTTTGTCTTCATCACACAAAGTCTGAATATCTCCTGCTGTTTGGGACCATCTACACCAAAATCTGGGAAACTCATCATAAAAACAAAATTCAGAAATTTACTAATGGAAAAAAAAAAACACAAATCAGTTAATTCTAGAAAAGTTCCCTCACTTCTGACATGTCATCCAATGTTTCAGGAAGTCTGGGTCTATGAAACATTTACAGCCTGATCATGCATAATCTACCTCCAGAAGATGGTGTTTTTTTGTGTCTGTTTGTTTTTTTTTAAATGGGAACACTTTCTTTCTAGTGTTTTGTGTAGGTAGCGTGGGCTGCAGACAGTTCGTGCAAAGTGGAGGTGCTGGTTGTGTGCGCTGAAACTCAAAGAGAAATCCAAGAGGAAAAGCTGCTGCAAAGACTTAAACTGAAGGAAAAGGGGGGATTTTAAAACATCCCCCCTTTTACATTTTACATTTAGACAAATGTAAAAGCAGAGCATATTTCAAGTTATGTTTGCTATGAAAACCCAGCCAAAGGCTTCAGGGGTATTTTAAAGCCAGTAATGGTAACTTGAGTCACCTCTGTCTGTGTGGTGCTCTGCTCTGCGCAGACAGGGTGAATGGCAGCAACAGCTACCATTGCAGGCCTGGAGGCAGCAAGTGTGTAGGCCTGTCACTGTATCACATTTTACTGGACGATAAATTGTCCCATAAGTTATTGTGATAAACAATAACATTGTTGTTTTGAGACCATTTTCAAGTAATATGGTGGTAATGGCATAATAATGCAAGAATGCACTCTAAAAGACCAATAAACTGTCATTTCTAACTAACATGTAACACTGGATCTAGAAGATATTTTAAATATTCCAAATAAATGAAACAACCAAAACAACAAATAAAATGGACACTGAAGTTTCTATGAACAAAATTGTCCTTCAAAAAAAGGGTCTAGTTGAGACCAAAGCACCAGACTGGAGGTTTTTATAATCCAGTCATTGATAAAAATAAATAAATAAATAAATGATAACAATATTAATAATAATAATAATTAATAATAATAAAAGAAAATAAAAAAGACACGAGAAAAACAAAACAAAATCATCCAAATAGTAATTATTGAGCTTATTTTAGACTTAAACTTACTTTATTGTCACACACAATGGTGACTTTGGCAACGAAATGTCGTTGCTTGGCTACCGAGTATGCAGAATAATATATGTGTATGAATCAAATCAGATGCAATGACAGGCAATATAGGAGGTGAACACACCCTCTGATTTCAGCTCAGCAAATCTCAATCACAACTGCTTTATTTTACGATGTGTGTGTCCATCTGTCCAAACTGTGGGTGTGTGTGTGTGTGGGTGTGTGTGCGTGCACTAAATGGAGGCGTTAAGTATTCCCATCTCCTCTTACTACAGAGACGGATGTTAAATTAGTGGTGGCTGGATATCCACTGAAGCTTTGGAGATTTCTTTACCTCAGTCACCATCTTTCTCACAGAGTGAGGTGGCAAAATAACAACCATTTCGTCACTCCATGTCACAGCTGGTTCTCTGTGTACCAGGCTTTTATACACAGGAGGGAGATTTAAACTGACACTTTGCAGTTACTGTTTCAAAATGATGAAAAAAATGACAATTTGCACCGTTTTAAAGAGTCTTTGACTCCAGTCCTCAAGAGCCGGTGTCCTGAAACTTTTAGATGTCTCTCTTTTAGATGCAGTATTTAACAGATTTCGTTTCCCGTCGGTGGTGTGAACTGTCTCCACTGGGTTAATACTGGCCTCCTAAGTCTTAATATCCCCTGCAGTGTTTTTGCTTTGTCGTCTTCCTGTCCCCTAATTCTCCGCTTATTTTGGCTCTGACTATTTCTAGGGGTGTATTTATACTCGCCCACAGGTGGGGATGATTTAGAGTTGACCAAGTTGCCCTGCAAAGCTCCAGTGTGCCATTTCTGTGAAGTATGCAAAGTGTATGCGCACACACAGGCACACATACCAGTCAGCATTGAGCCTTGGACACACCCTGGTTGGATGACACTTGTCACTATGGGAACATAACACAGACAGACGCTCAGGTGTTTCCAGGGTCCAGTTAAGCAGATGAATGATCTAACTGTATGTAGACCACAGAAGATATTAAACGGTCATAAAGACGTCTAAACTGTTCGAAGGTGGTTTAAAACCAGTGACAGGCTGGTAATTTTCTGCAGATTCAGCAGTTAACCTCTGCTGATATTGACCTGCAGCATGTTGCAAATGCTACGGTCAAGCAGATTGGGAATAAACACAGGAATGTGTGTGTGTGTGTGTGTGTGTGTGTGTCTGACTTAGCCTGTGTGTGTGCCAAATGTCATAGCTGTCCTGGAAGGATTAACTCCAGTAGCTCCAGACAGCCAGCTGTTTCTGCATGGCAGAGGAGGAGTGAGAGCTGAGTGAAAGAATGTGAAGCAACAGCGGTGAAGATGTCTGCTCTGATTCATTGTTTTTTTGATAGCTAGACTGAGTTGTCAAAAAGGTCAAGTTTGACAAAGATGCAGTAAAACCCAGTCATCTCAGGTCTTAGAGTAGTTCTGAATAGATATCTGTAATCTGTGAGGCTAAGCTGTAATACAAGTATCTGCTGTTGAGGTTTGCTGTAAATCTGGAGGGGGAAAGCACTTTTGCAGCGGCGCTCCGACACGCTGGATCGGTTTGTCTCTACAAATAAGACAGTTTTCATCAGTACTTGGTTGTAAATCTTGTTTTAAAACATATTTTTACTCCCTGGCCCAGGTGTTCGGTGGAGCCACTGATTTTGTAATAAAACAGAAGCAGCTGCGTAGGAACAGAAATGGCTCACAATCTGCCGTCATTTATTCTAATAAAATGAACGACATTGACTGTGAACACGTACAGTTACTTCATGCTGTGATCTTCTCGGAGGGGGCAGGCAGCCTGGTTGGCAGGGCAAGGGCCATCTTGTGGTAGCATGCATCTCCACATTCAATCTAGGGCTGAAGCCAATAATCGGATTAATCAATTACCGAAATTATCGTCAACTAATATAGTAACCGATTAATCGTTAACTGGAGTATACATACCCACAAAATGGTCATTTGCAGAGAGAACAACATAATCAAAGCAGTAATTAACCCCGAACTGTTAAAAAATATAAGCATTTTGCATTAAAAAAAAAACCCCACTCACTGTCTGTAAATCTGTTTTACCCACAGCTAATCTAGTGGCAGTTTTAGCTTCACGTGGTTTAAATTCTGCAAATAAATCCCTTATTAGTCGCCTTTTACTATTTAATTATTAATCAGTAAATCCAAAATTGAGACACCACATCAGTCTGTCACTATGTTGATGATGTTAAGTCGAGGAAAAATGGCTTAGCTTTTCATAGGGTGAAGAGCTTTTTACCTGCAGATGCATCCTTTACTACTGGTGATGAAGCATTCACTAAATGAACGCTGTTATTTCATCTTAGCAATAAAATGTTTTTTTTATTTAAAAAAGAAATTGGATTAATTGATAATTTGCATCTTTGTATGTATTTCTAATATTGCATAAAATAGTGGTTAAACTAAAAATCTGCAGAATGTGCCAGTTCTGAATAGAATAATCAATTAGTAAAATAATTGTTAGTTGCAGTCCTTATCTAATCACACTCCCCTGCTCTGCAGGTCTGTAAACACATACTCTACATCAGTGCTGTTAGCAGGGACTAAATGACATAGTTTCTACTTTAATATGTCTGTGAGTCCATTTTGACGTAAAGTAGTTCCTGATGAACAGACTTTGTCACTTACTCCATCTGCAGTGACCTCAACTTAAGTCCACAAGCAACATAAAACTTCATACGGTCACCATGTTGTCTCCTCCATAACCTAAATATGAAGAAGACCTCAGAAACCCATTTAAATAGGTCACTGCTTATTTGTATTTATGTGACATTTACAGTGGTCTAAAAGCCATTAGATGCTATCCAACTGCCAGCTGGTCGTTTGAAAGAGAGGCCGAAAAAAGGTTGTTCTGTCCTACCATCGCTAACGTAAATAAGGGTCTAAACCGTAGTCCCTTGGTTTGACAAGAATGAGCTTTTCAACAGCAATCTCTCCACTTGTTTCTCTTCCAAAGGGAACTTTGTTAGAGTTCCAGGAGTCACGGTTTCTGAAATACCGGGACGCTGTGCAGTCATGTTCAGCGTCCCGGTATAGGAGACCTATAAATTAGAATATAGGTCTCCTGCCTGGTGTCTCCTGCCTGGAATTGAACCCAGGATATGTGGAATTGAACCCTGGAATATGTGGAATTGAACCCTGGAATATGTGGTGCTCACAGTGAGCACCACATATTCAGTATATTCAATTCCAGACCCTGAGGCTTTTTCTGCATCCCTTCCCCACCTTCTCTCTCCACACAATTTCTGTCAGGTGACTGTCAATAAGGCCAATGGAATGGTCAAACATTCTCTGTATGTTTTTAAAATGCTCAAGCAGAAGACTGTAGGCAGAAGACTGTAAACAGCAAGTAAAACAACATGCCAAATGATTTCATGTAAAAATTGGTTCTTGCTGTATCTGAATAAAAAAAAAGAAGTTTCTCTGTTCATCTCCATCATTGTTCTTATGTGGCAGCAAACCAAAGTTATAGAGTCCCTCAGGGTTTGATCTTAGGCTGTATTTTGTTTATGTTGAAAGTGTTGCCTCTTGGACTCATTTTTAGGAAATGTCACATTCAATGCTTTGGAGATGATGTACCAATATACATTTCTCTAAAAAACATGAAAG